CATTCCAACAACAAAACAAAACAATATTGTGTGGACATAAAAAAAAAAAGAAATGTTAATTTCTATGAAATTCTTAAGAATTTTAAATGTATATTTAAAATTATTTAAAAGAAGAAACCATTCTTTTTAACTTTAAATGAAGTTTTACACTTCTACAGTTAGTTTTCACTGGGTCAGGTTCATTTCATGATTATCAGCTTTTTAATGCAAATTTTAGAATCGAAAATAAGGGAAATCTAAACAAGCGAATGTAAAAATACAAGTAAAGTTTTCACTCATCCAGAATCAGCAACGGAGACATTAAAATGGATATTTGAAATGAAAAAAGTTAACTTATTTTTGTATTTTTGCGATCTAAAATTGGCATTAGAGAAATTAATGAAAAGTTACAACGATCAATAAGCCTTTTTAAATGTTTTAGAAAAACCTAAACATGTTTTCAAGCAAATTGCAAATTCAAGCTCCCTGGGGAGGTGTTCCGGGCTCGTCCCACCGGAAGAAGGCCCAGAGGAAGACCCAGGACCCGCTGGAGGGACTATGTGTCCCGGCTGGCCTGGGAACGCCTCGGGATCCCCCCTGAGGAGCTGGCTGAAGTGGCCGGGGAGAGGGAAGTCTGGGTTTCCCTGCTCCGGCTGCTGCCCCCGCGACCCGACCCCGGATAAGCAGTGGACAATGGATGGATGGATTTGTACAAAACTGAAGGATTTTGAAGAAGCTTGTAACCTGTCTGTTCGGTGGGTTAAGGATGGTACAGGTCTGATTGAAAGAAAGCCGGCACCCTGTTGCCAAATATAAAGCGCTGCCTTCTGCAGGGCATCACATAACAAGCTACATCATAGCTTTTCAGTGGAACTTTGATCTGGAGAACTGCTCCAAAGAACAGAACACAAGCCAGCTAACTTTGTGCTAATGAGATGAGCGTTCAATGCAAAAACCCCAAAAGAAGAAATACATCCAGCTAGGAGGAGGAAGGCTGCTGGGAAAAAAGAGACTATATAAGAGAAACCAGAGTCATGCTCTGGGTTTTGAGGTTCGACAGGAGCTTTTGTAATAATACATTGTAGTAATACATAATACATTCATACAGCAATGAACGTTGACTGTTATGTCAATTTATATGAATACTACACAGTATGTTCTTATTCAAAGTATATTCAGTGGATTCCACCTTGGCATGCTAGTTCTCAGAATAATCCCACCATGACATGCCGTCCAGATTTAATCTTAACAGTCACTTGAAAATAGCTCTCCTGCACAGGACGCTCTTATTGACTTCCTGACAAAGAGATTTTAGAGAAAACCCTTAGAGAAAAAAAAAAGAATCCAGGACAAGAGAGAGACGTACCTGGTTTCAGGTCTGTCCAGCTAAAAAAAAAGTAAGAAGGTAAGTTGATGTGTGTGTGCCTTATGCGGCAGTACACACCATGTTGTGTTGACTCTGTCTCCTGGGGGCCACAGCACAAAACAAATGTGAATAGTTCTTCCCCAATACATGCAGAAAACACGGCCTTGAAAACAGAACAATGTGGA